TATCGGCAGTGTATAGTATCGCGATTAACACCAATTAATCGTCTCACTAATACACAGACCAAGATTGGCCCCTAGCAAGCATCATGGCCACCCGATAGATTCAGATTCAACAAAGTACTACTTGTCAACGATAGGTTATCGTGCAATTCGATCCTTTCATCATACGTATCTCGACGACGAAGGCATAAATAGTGTCAACCTTTGGTTACTCTCGATATTATTTATTCAGTTTCTGGACCAATGACCCATATTATAAACTGGATAGAGCAACAACTCAATCCCACTGTGGCCACAGTTTTAGTGTCATTGCCTATACTAATTGCGTCATGAGATAACTTTCCTCCATACCCGAGTGATGAAATTTCTGTCAATCCACCTAGTCTTGATACACTCCTTGATGCAGTCAATCACTGCCGTATTACAACTCTGAAAAGAACTGCGTAGGCTAGTGTCAAACTACACCAATGGTGCACAAGGCGCTCCGTGATCTCAAGTCTAAGGATCACATGCACTACCTTCGTTAGAGGATTTGTTCCATAGACACTAGGGTTCCATCCATATGGAATCCTCTGGGGGTCAGTCCAGTCAGCAAGCACCCATGTGTTGCACCGGGTTGTCACCAAACAACCTTGACAAGTGAGATCAGTCACTGTCTTTCGACAGGGTCATTCAACACTATGATAGCCTTACCGTATTATCTGGCCCTTACTTCAGAATAATACTGGGGCTACAGACGTTTCTAGAATGGCCACCATATGTGCTCAGGGTTCTCACTATCAGATTTGAAACACTTGATACCCTCGTCACGGTTCTACCATTCTAAGGACATATATCAATTATATGCAATAATAATGATTTACGCGATATAGAATAAAATGCCTTTTATTGATTATACATTATTACAAAGAGTCAATTCTACAATAATTGATTGGCTCTAGGGCATCTATCTAACACACTGCTCTTGCTTAAGACGACGATAGGGCAGGAGAAAAGAGAAGGATGGAAAGACTAGGGTAAAAGGATAAAGCAACTTCTCGAAGAAATAGTGACTGGACTGAGGAAAGACCACGAGCCGCTCCCTCGATTTGGCAGGTATACCTTTCTGGTTGCCCTGCTTGAAGAAATCCTTGCAAATTTTGGCAAGGCATAGTAGTTGCCCAAGCCAAGGAAGTTGAGGAGACAACAAAGTAAGAGACACCCTCAGCAATACTGCAAATACCACAAGGACGTCGACCATAATACCAATAACTGTCGAGTCTAGAAAACCTCATAAGGAGAGGTCACCTAAAGGAGTTCTTAGACAAGTCGTAAACCCGTGATGATCGGGAAGATCATCAGAATGAGCATCATCAGAAAGAGTCCACTTATGTCAAGGTCAAAATGATTAGAATGATCTATTGAGGACCAAGCATCAAAGGGGACATTAGGTGTACTCATGTGCGGTACGCTTGGGAGGCAAGAACGGACCCAACACCCTGTGTCCTTAGCCTCGAGAATAGGCCGTCAAAATAGCCTAAGATAGAAAGTCTGATCATAGGCTTCATGGAAGACAAAGCCTACCTAATGCACCATCCTCACTACAATGCTTTGGTGATCACGGCATAGTGATGCGTGCAAATGCCACACCTAATTTTACCTCACTAAATTCTAATGCAAAGTCGTGTAGTAGCAAAGAGCAAGTAAGGGTCTTTCCCACAGAAGATTTGTTAACTTAATTAATTATTTACTTCTAATAGGGTTTATCACGAATTACAAAAACTAGCAACCTAAAATTAAACAAAGTAAAACTAGCAAACAATCACAAAAGAGATAAATAAGAGAAACTAGATTGAAGGTTTATTCACCACCACTAGACGTGAATTACATGTAATAAAAGCACTCTTTAACTTTCTACCCTTTTGATCATATCAGCTCAGAAAATACCAAACGTTGATAAGTCCAATCTCTCCTCACTGAGTTGTTAGACTAGACACGATCATAACCCAATTCCCTATTTATTAAATAACCTATGATTCATTCTCTAGATTCAAAGTAATAAAAGCATTAAGTTTCGACGGACCTATTGAATCAAGGCTAAACTCATATGGACGGTTTAGTTATCTTGAGTGATTACCCCCCATGTATGTAGGCATCCATTTTACCACTAGTTATTTAGGTTAATAAAACGATTTCGTACTAAACAACCTAAATTGGCATTAATAGATTAATCCTAAAAATTTAATTGCGCACTTAAACAATTAAGACAATCTATCTAAACCCTATTCACAGAGAAATAATCACATAACTAAGAGGGATCAAAAGATAAATAGATGCAGATTTTATTAATTTCAAGACAAGTCTAGGGCTTTGAAATCACCCTCAATCATAAAAGAATTAGTTACTCGTGGAGAAGAATAAAAACATGATCATATTAATGAATAACAAAATAACAACAAGAGATAAGAAAAACTTAGGAAATCTTGGGTAGAACAATGGAGTTGATGATGATCTTCCCCCAATTCTTCTGTCCAAGCCTCTTTCAATCTCTCAATCTCTACATTACTGAGTATTTTTGTTCTCTATATTCCCATCTAAAGAATCCCCATAAGTAATGCTAAAAGACTTGTATTTATATCTAAAAAAGGTTAGGGTTTTGTTTTCCTTAATTCTATTTAGTTTAGGACTCTTAAACCCTATTTTCCTAGTCAAAAACGGAAGAAAAAATTTCAGCTATCTTGATTGTGCCCTGACTCTATGCTGTTGATGAGTGCTTGGAAGTGCACTCATACTTAGTGATTTTAAGGGTATTTTGTGAGGGAAGTAGGTTTAATTGGTTAATTTTACTTAAATTCTATATCTTTTTTGTTTTCTAGAATCACGGGTATGTTTTGTGAATTTCCAGGTGTTTAGGTACTGAAAAATGAGGATTTCAAGCATGGACATTGAAGATGAAAGAATCATAAGCATGTAGGAACAAACGGTTCGAGAATCAGAGCTTAAACGAAGAAGTTATGGATTTTTGAAGATTTTTCGCTGCAGTAGAACTATTCCCATGCTACAACATAAAATTGCAAAATGGATAGAAACTTCATGCCGCAGCACCAATAAATCATGTCGCAGCGCAATATGGGAAATCTATGTTCGGAAATTTTTCTGCCAGAACATGCTGCATGAAAATGATCATAACTTGAGCTACACAACTCTTATTGACCTGGTTTTGGTGGCGTTTTAAAGCTAAGAGACAGAGTTAAACTTTAGGTTTTGATTATGGCCAATTTAGACTTGGAATATGGTTAAAAATGAAGATGAAAGTTATGTTAGTGCTTGGACATGTGCAGATGTGTCATTATGTGTTTTTAATTGAAGTATAACTCTTTACCATAATACCCTCATGACTTTAATATTATAAATAGATGTCCTTAGCAATATTTTAGGGAGCTAGGGTTTATGATATCAAATATAATTAGGAAGAGGCAAGGAAATGAGATCTTACCTAGGGTTTCATCTTCTTCTTCTTGTACTTCATGGTTTTCAAGATTTTGAGGTTTGATTTCCTTATGCTCATGTGTAACTAAATACTTTTCTAGGGATCCAATGTAGCCTAATAAGAAGGTTTTATGTCTTTATTAATTCTATTAGTCTTATCAATCCATTACAATTCTAGTTTTATTCATTATCCTTTATTCAATCTTTAATTGATGTTATTGCTTGATCACCTTTAATGTTAATTAATTGATTGTGTGAGACAAGGTTAGACTACACACCCTAGCTAATCTTGAATAGCTCATGTGAATGGATGATTAGTATTTTGTGCATACGCCCTGACAGAATGCTAATTGGTTCATGATTTCTTGGATGATTAGTATTTGTGCATATGCCCTAACAGATGCGCCTTTATTCATGATTTTGAGTGCTCTTATGTTTAATGGGTTTTTAATCATTAGGCTAGACTATACGCCCTAGATAGTCTCGTGTTAAAGATACTAGGTTAATCCCAAATGCGCCTTACGATAATCCCTTAATTATGTAAGTGTGAACCCTAGAAATTGGATTGTGATAACAATAATTTGATAGTTGGCATAAAACTGGATTATTATGGTGAAATTGGATACCTAGGTTGTAGTTCATTGGTTCTTAAATTAGTTTTTATTGGTGTTATTTTGGCTTAGTCAGTGGTAGTTAATTTTTAGCTTCTTTTTACACTTAGTTTTAATCACTAGTTCTTTAATTTGCTTGAATTTATTTGTTTTAATTAAGACATAGCTTATTAGGATTAATTGAGTGCTTACAAATCTCTGTGGGATCGACCCTTGCTTTTGCACACTATAGTACAGTTGTGATTCGTATACTTGCGAGGAAGTAAAATTGTGTTTTAAGTTATTTAGTTTTCTTGATAACATGCTTTAATTATTGTTATTTTTGTTATTTAATTTAATTTGTATTATTTTTATTTGGGTTATTTTTTTTGTTGTTTTGTTTTTATCTTCGTTGGTGTGTTTGTATTTGAATGCAAGGTCATCGATCACTGGATAAAGAATTAGTACCTTACGTGGATAGAGTCGATTTGATCGGTTGAAATAAGAAGGAACCAGAATTTCCTGAAAATTCATCAGATTCAGATTCGTCAGATTCAAGTTTAGAAATAGAGATAATGGCTTAACTACCTCGTCCTATGCCGGAGTATGCACGTCCTACCATAGGAACATCGCCATCTTGCATAGTGCTGAATGAGGCAGCAAGGAATTACGAATTGAAGTACATTCACTTTCTGATGTTACCGTCATTCCATGGCATAGCCACAGAGGACCCACTTACCTTTATTCGTGATTTTTATTCTCCTATTCAAACGTTTCCTTTGCAGAGTTTGACAGAAGATCAATTGCGGATGCTTTGTTTTCTTTACACCTTGAAGGATGCAGCTAAAACATGGTTCATGTCATTAAATCCTACTTCACTTACCACCTGGGATGCAGCTTATAATAAGTTCATTGGTAAATTCTATTCTCATGCCAAAACTGCAGAGTTTAGAGGTAAGATCGCTACTTTCTCACAAATGGAAGGTGAGTCGTTCCATGAGGCTTGGGAGCATTTTAAATTATTGTTGGTTCAATGTCCACATCATAGATATCCTTTAGAATTGCTTAACCAATTTTTCTATGATGGACTAACACAGGCTTGCCAAGCTATAGTTGATAATGCTGCAAGTGGTGCTATGGGAGAGAAGACTGCACAAGAGACTTATGATTTGTATGAGATGCTTGGAGCAAATTCACAACAAAAAAGTGTTAAAGGTATATCTAGAGGGATATATGAAGTAAATACTAACACTGATTTGGCTATGCAGGTTTCAAAATTGACCAAGAAAATGAAAACTATGTGCAACATGATGATGGGACAAGGACTAAGAAATTCCAACGAGGTAGGTGCTATTTGTGGTATTATTGGTCAAGCAACTAACGTTTGTTCTTCTCATAGAAATTTTCAAGAGTTTGTTGAGCAAGCCAATATGATGAATTCCTAAAACCTAAGGCCTCATGATCCTTGTTTGAATACTTATAATCTGGGTTGGAGGACAACCCAATTTTTCTTAGAGTAACAATCAGCGACAAGCGAGCTCTAATAATCAACTGTGGAAGCCCTCATTGGAAGAGACATTGAATAATTTTATTCAAATTTCTCAGAAAAACCAACAGAATTTTGAACAGAGATTTCAGCAGCAAGAGGCATCAATTAAGAAGTTGGAGGTTCAAATAGGACAGGTAGTGGAGGCCGTACAAGGCCATGTTCTTGGAAAATTACCAAGCCAACTTGAGCAAGAAAATGCAGTCACAGTACTACGAAGTGGTAAGGTAATTAATAAAGAAATTAATTCTGAGACTAATGTGAATTTAAATGATGATGTAGGGGAAGATAGAGCTAAAGAGAAGCAACCAAGCGTAGCCATTCAAAATGAGGAGATTAGTCCCATCGTTGCTCCACCAAAGCAAATGGGATAAGTCATTCTTTGAAATTTATAATATCTTGTCTAAAGTTAATGTGAACTTACCCTTGCCTTACATGATTAGGAACTTACCTGCCTACGCAAAGTTTTTCAAAGAGCTGACCACATGTAAGCATAAGAATGAGCCTCATGAAATAGTAATGATATTTGAAACAGTTAGTGCGGTGCTGCAAAGTAGATTACAACCCAAACTGAAAGATCCTGGGACTTTTATTACCAACATTACTATTGGTAATAAAAAGGAAAGGCGAGCTATGTTGGATTTGGGTGCAAGCATAAACCACATGCCATTTTCGATCTATCAACAATTGGGATTAGGAGAAATGAAGCCTACAACAATGACACTACAATTGGCAGATTGTTCTGTCAAGTATTGAAGAGGTATTGTAGAGGACATTTTAATTCAAATTGATAAATTGATTGTTCCTGTAGATTTTGTGGTGTTAGATATGGAGACGCCGTCAAAGTTCGACAATGAATTGCCCATTTTGCTTGGACGATTCATGGCCAAAACAAATACAATTATTGATGTGCAAAAAACTCCAAATGACGATTCTTGATCAAACTGCAGAATTTTCAATTTTCAATTCTTTGTATTCTCCTTCTAAAGCTAATGAGTGTCTTCTTGTTGATTCTATGGATCCAATAATTTTCTCTAGTATTTTGTAGGTTGAGACAAAAGATAAAGTAGAGTTGGCTTTGCCTACAGAGGGTAATGAATTTGCTGAGTAAGAAGCAAAGGAGTATTTAGAGGCCATAGATAGCACAATACCAAAGACGTCTGATGTTGAGTTGAGGAAGCCTCCTTGAACCAGACACCCCGTATTCCATCTATCCTAGACGTTAAATGAAGCGCTTCTTGGGAGGCAACCCAAGCTTTTTCTTTGAACTTTTTCTTTAATTTAATTTATGGTTTTATTTTCTTTTGTTTTCCAAGTGTTTTCATTGTTTTTGTTGTATTTCATGGTCTAGTTGTTTTGCAAGAAAAGAGCTTCATGCCATAGCATAAAATATTTATGCTATGGCGTAGCAAGGAAGAGACATAAGGCAATTTAGGTAGAAACTTGATGCCGCGGCATAATGAAAATGGCACCGTAGTGCCACACAAGTTTTGATGATGTCTCTAAAAGGGAGGTAACTTTCTCTTTCCTTTTCTGTTTTTCCTTTCTAATTGTTACATTGAGGACAATGTAGGTTTTAGGTTGGGGGTGGAGAAGTTCCCTTTTCTGAATTCTTTTTTTAATTTTTGTATTTTTTTTTTTTTTTTGAGATTTGGTGTGTTTTTATGTTATTTTTAATTGAGCGTGTTTCAACTTTTCTGAATTAATTTATATGTCAATGATAATAACATGATTGCAATGACATGGGCATTTAGAACAAGTCAAGTTTTACTTTAGTTTGGGAATAATTCTGAACGTTGGTTTTGCCTAAGTTTCAGATTCTCAAGAATATGGTTTGTGTGGTTGGTTAGTTCTAGCATTTAGGGATGTTTTGTGTGTAATTTTCCTATGACATTTTTGAGATCCCCAAATTCTAGAACCTATTTGATGACCACTTGAGGTGAAATCCTAGACAACACATGAATGAAGAAATGACTTAGGCCATCTTTGGACCGTTTGTGCCTTTCAAGTCAACCCTATATTTTATTATCTCTTGTCACCCTTTCGTGTCGATATTGAATTTATATTAGCCTTGATTTTCTTTCAGTTACCCTTAAACACACTACTCTACCCATGATTTTAAGAGGATTTAATCTGAATATTATTCAAAGTGAGAGTGTTTCTGTGTGGGTTAGAATGTTTTCTCAAAAAAAAAATTCTGGAGGGTATTCAAAAGAATAGGTTGGGGATTGTGGTGTGTTGTGAATATCAAGGTAAAAAGGGAAAGATTGTAATATCTATGCTTCCTAACTGTAGTTTCATTAAAAACAAAAAACAAAACAAAACAAAAAAAAAAAATCTAAAAAAAGGAAGAAAAAGAAAAGAAAAAAATGAATGAATCAAGGAAGTATGGAAAGTGTGTAAATGCAAATGCCGTTGGGAAATTTAGAGAGAATGTGATATGCTTTGAGTGATTTTGTTGCAAATAAGTAAGATTAATCCTCTTATTTTGTTGATTCCTTTCCATTCTTTCATAACCCAATACCTTAGCCTAAACATTACAAGCTTAATAAAGTCCTAATGATCTAAAGTTATGTGATTGTTCTACATTGTGGAGAGTGGTTGGAAAAGTAGGCCTATGGAGTTTGTATTTACAGAATTTTATTCATATTTCATAATTATTGGGATCAATTTTTTGTCTATGGATGTTGCATATGGTATTATTTCCGGTCTTAGGATTGACAGATTGTGGATTGATGGATGCTAGAGAGTTGAGAACGAAGGTGAGATCGATGTTTAGGATGTTCCTAGATTTGAGGTGAAGTTTGATTATTCTCTATGTTGTGTGTATGCAATTTTTGAGACACTTATATGACTTAGTTTGGAAAAATTTTGTTTTATTTTTATTTTATGTGTGAGTGTTTATGTGTTAGTTAGATTTGTTGGATGTTTGTGGGTAACATTGTTGTAAACCCTCACAAGACTATAACTCGTCCATTATGGGGACCTAGGGGTTTAAAGGCTTATTGCATACGCTAAATGCAATCCTGTTAACCTACGGAAATGGTTTAGGTTAAGTTAGTTAGAACTAGATTTTAGATCGCTTTGGTTGCTAGGGACTAGCAAGAAGCTGGTTGGGAGTTGTGATGATTGCTTGAAAGTACACTCATACTTAGTTATTCTAAGGGTATTTTGTGAGGAAATTAGGTTTAATTGGTTAATTTTACTTAATTTCTATATCTCTTTTGTATTATAGAATTACGGTATGTTTTGTGAATTTTCAGGTGTATAGGGACCTAGGGGTTTAAAGGCTTATTGCATACGCTAAATGCAATCCTGCCAACCTATGGAAATGGTTTAGGTTAAGTTAGTTAGAACTAGATTTTAGATCGCTTTGGTTGCTAGGGACTAGCAAGAAGCTAGTTGGGAGTTGTGATGATTGCTTGGAAGTGCACTCATACTTAGTGATTTTAAGGGTATTTTGTGAGGGAATTAGGTTTAATTGGTTAATTTTACTTAAATTTCTATATCTCTTTTGTTTTCTAGAATCACGGGTATGTTTTGTGAATTTTCAGGTGTTTAGGTGCTAAAAATGAGGATTTCAAGCATGGACATTTAAGATGAAAGAATCATAAGCATGTAAGAACAAACAGTTCGAGAATCGGAGCTCAAACAAAGAAGTTATGGATTTTTGAAGATTGTTCACCGTAGCAGAACTATTCCCATGCCACAGCATAAAATTGCAAAATGGACAGAAACTTCATGCTGCAATGCCAATAAATCATGCCGCGGTGCAATGCGGGAAATTTATGTTCGGAATTTTTTCTTCCAGAACATGCTGCACGAAAATGATCATAACTTGAGCTACACAACTCTGATTGACCTGGTTCTAGTAGCGTTTTAAAGCTAAGAGACAGAGATAAAACTTTTATGTTTTGATCATGGCCCAGTTCAACCTGGAATATGGTTAAAAATGAAGACAAAAGTTACATTAGATCTTGGAGATGTGCAGATGTGTCATTATGTGTTTTTAATTGAAGTATAACTTTCTACCGTAATACCCTCACGACTTTAATATTATAAATAGATATCGTTAGAAATATTTTAGGGAGCTAGGGCTTATGATATCAAATACAATTAGGAAGAGGCAAGGAGAGGAGATCTTACCTAGTGTTTCATCATCTTCTTCTTGTACTTCATAGTTTTCAAGATTTTGAGGTTTGATTTCCTTATGCTCATGTGTAACTAAACACTTTTCTAGGAATCCAATGTAGCCTAATAAGAAGGTTTTATGTCTTTATTAATTCTATTTGTCTTATCAATCCATTGCAATTCTAGTTTTATTCATTATCCTTTATTCAATCTTTAATTGATGTTATTGCTTGATCACCTTTAATGTTAATTAATTGATTGTGTGAGACAAGGTTAGACTACATACCCTAGCTAATCTTGAATAGCTCATGTGAATGGATGATTAGTATTTTGTGCATACGTCCTGACAGAATGCTAATTGGTTCATGATTTC